TCGAGAGGTGTCAAATCGCACGACCTTGGAGGCCAATTGACAGGTCGACTTCTTGAAATCAACTTATCGCCAAGTTTTGATTTCATTATGTCGGTGGTTGCGTTCGCCGTATGGCACGTAGCGCTATCCTGTTGAAACCACATCTTCTCCGGATCAATGTCATCCATATTTGTAAACAAAAAATCATTGATCATGGTGCGGTAACGATCTCCATTGACCGTAACGCGAGCTCCGGCCTCATTTTTGAAGAAATAAGGTCCGATAATGCCACCAGCGTGAAAACCGCACCATACGGTACATTCTTCTGGATGTAATGGAGTCTGTAGGGCCTCTTGTGGATTAGATTCACTTCATATGCGGCAATTTTGCTTATTAACAAACCCGTTAAGCCAAAAATGGGCCTCATCGCTGAACACAATTTTGCGATAAAACAACGGGTCATTTGGCAACTGCTCTAGAGCCTGATTTTCAAAGTAATTTTGGATAATTTCGTAGCGATGTTCAAGCGTGAGTCTATTCATGATGATTTGTCAGACTATACTGAAAGAAATAAAAAAAAATTTATCAAAATTTAATTTTTTGAGTTACTTTTTACAATTTAAAGTTCTATCTAGCTTAAAAAACAGCATTTATATTTTACATTTTAACTATGTTTTTCATACTAATTTCGGCAAATGTTGGTAATTTGAGAATAAACCATCCTTGCAAAAAATTATCACTTTTTGGCATAGCCATCATATGTATTACGCTCTTTTCGGGATACTGGACACTTTTTTCATTTTTTGGCCTTAGTTGATATATTTTTTTCTATGAGGGAAAAAAACTTCTTCTCATAAAATTTTAAATTTTTGGAGTAGAGTCGATCTTTGTATTGACCACATTCATCAATCAAAAAAATTGTATTTAGGCTACTCTGGGCTAAAGAACCATCTAGCAGGTAATTGTCAACATAGGCATTTACCAAATCCACTTTCCCAACCAATGTGTGGCCAGAAAAGAAAATTTTGCATTCTATTGAATGTTTAGCCCCCAAGAGAATATTGATTGGAAACATAGATTTTGGATGTATGTAGATTTGGGATGTACGACTATATGAAATAAACTTCGAAATCTCAAATTTCAACTCATTCAGTCGGAAATAGTGGCAGAAATTACGAATATTAGAATGTAGCACGGGACCGAACATTTGTTTAATCGTCATTGAATTATACTATGATGAAAAATATGGACTGTATGGGGTCTCGCATAGTTTAAATGACAACAAAATTAATTCACATCTTACGGTATTGGATGTAAATCATTGTAATACTAATTATGAGGTGGACAAAACTAAATAACACGCAGCACGGTATTCTAAATGTCGGAAATACAAATTCCAAATCACAGCTACTTTGAAAATCTTTGTTAGCTCTTGACTATACAAAAATTGAGGTCAGTTTTCACATGGGGCTGTTATATATGTTCTATATCATATATGTTTTTAACATTCAAATTAAAGTCTTTGGCTGAAAATAAGATCAGGCTATTCAAAAAACCTAAACCCGACGGCGAACATCTTTTATAATTTTTGCCATGAATATTTATTTCTATTTAGAAATTACTATGGATATAAAAATTGTGCCGCTCATATAAATCAAATGTGTTATAATAAAAGTATGGGCCGGCAACGCAAACCGGACGCAAAAATGCGATATATTAACATTTTTATTTTGACTTTTTAAATGAACAATAGTAATGTTTTATTTTGCATGATTTTTTTCCATTTTGACTTTTTCCTAATGTACATTTGTAATGTTTTTTATATTTTATTTTTGAATTCGAATATTAATACCAATTTATTTAATTGACTTGATTTCTTGAGAACTGAAATTGATGACGGGTTACATGGAAGTGTAGTACCGAATTATGTGGTGGCAAAACGGAATAGATGATATCGAAATAATATAACGCAGTCGCACCAAAGTTAAAAGATAATTACTTTTTCAAAATCGTTAAAAAACCACGAAAAAGAGATTTAATTGCAAAAACTCTGAAATTGGGAACAATCGAAAAAAAAATATGGAATCGAATTTTAAAATAATAGTACATTCTGTTGACAAACTTTGTAAGGACCTTTAAACATTTGCTGTAAAAAATCAGCAAACAAGTTGAAGATTTTTTCAATTTGTTATTCTTTTTTTGTCAATTTGTATTATCATATTGAATTCAGTGGATTTTTTTGTGAACAAAATAAAGAATAATTTTTCACTATATACAATTTTTCACCAAAAAAAAAAAATGAAATAAGTGCGAAGTAGGATGTTAATCTTTCAACTCCAGGGCCTACATCGTAGTTCAACTTGAAGATGCGAACACATTTAAACAAACAAAAATGACCGAAAATGCCTAATGGGGCTCATTTCAAAGCGATATATTAACATTTTTATTTTGACTTTGAAAAGAACAATAGTAATGTCCTAATGTACATTTGTAATGTTTTTTATATTTTATTTTTGAATTCGAATATTAATACCAATTTATTTAATTGTAAGTTGGAGACCCCATAAAGTCCATATTTTTCATCATAGTATAATTCAATGACGATTCAACAAATATTCGGTCCCGTGCTACTTTCTTTTAATTGTAATTTTTCATGTTTTCACAATTTATTTCATATAGATGTACATCCCAAATCTACGTTCCCAACCAATATTCACTTGGGGGTTACAAATTCAAAATTTAAAATTTATTTCAATACAAAATTTTTCTCTTCTTGCCACACGAAGAGGTTCTCTACCCCATTAAAAACAAAGATGCCAAGTAATGGCCAAAAAATGAAAAAAGTGGCCAAGACCCCAAAAATAGCTCAAATCATACGATGGTTATATAAATATGAAATCGGGTTGTACCCTTATCCGTGAGTTATGATCGATATCATGGCCTGCAAAAGCGATTTAAGGTATCTTGAATGTTTGAGAAGAATTTCTGGAAGGATAGAAATCCCTTTCTTACTAAAAGTCCCATTCGCTCTACTATTTTGCACCCTTTATATTTGGTATTTTACTGATTGTTCTCCCAAAGAATTTAGCATTTTGAGCTCTCATAATAAAAATGTTAATATATCGCATTTTTACGCTATTTTTGCGGACGTTATCCTTTTCGGATAGGAGACAATTCCGAAGTGCATATAACAAAAGTGCATATAAATCCGTAAATATTAGATATCTGGAAGCTTTAGTTACAATTGGTTCCCCAATTTTCTTGGAAAATACATGCGCTTATGAGCTTTTGAAAGTATTTTTTAGCTTTAAAATATGCTGGATTGAAAAGTATATGCTAATTTTAGGTTTCCCAAAAAAATGTGTCCTGAGTCGTAGAAAAAATATCTTATTCTTCTTTCGATTGAAGCCTTTTTTTTACTGTTTTTGAATTCCAATGACTTCAACTAAATGTTTAAAATTTTAACAGAATTTGTTAAGGACTTTATTTCTAAATTCGTTCCAAATGGTGGAGGGTATTAAAAGTTCGACCCGGCCGAACTTACTGCTTTTTAACTTGTTTCTACTATCTTTATTACTACCGACGGCAACACTGCTTTTTACCTTGGAAATTTAGCAACCGTTGCAATTTGTGACAAATCCGGCCACTGTGCGAGGCCGCATGCCTTCAACCAAGCTTTACCACCTCACATAGGCAATCCAAGTTCTTACAATAACTTATAAACAGAGCGACGGCGTGTTTTAAAATACACAAAACTATAGATATGCACACCGTACCCGAACACTGGCGGTAGCCCAGAGCGTAGGATGCTGGCTTTGTCCGCAGCCTAGATACCAGTAACGTGGATTCGAATTCCTCCTCCGGCAGTACTACAATTTGTATTTATAAGCGAGATAGATAAGTTCTTTTAAAAGTCACTTGTATCTATAACATCATAATCCTATAAAATTCTCCTTAACATATGCAACACATTTCAAACAATTAATTATTACTATTTTCAATACTACAGAGAAAGCATTATCCTTCACACAACAATATGTACGACGATGTTCTACGAGGCCTCGTCGATCACACCCTTGTAATGTGGCTTTACAGGAATTTAAAAGCACAGAACAAGAGAAATACACCAAAACAAGTAGGAAATTTTTTTTTGTAGTTTTGATATCGCAATAGTTGTATCCTTTTCGAATACATACACAAATTTAGTTGAAGTTAGAAGAATTTTTCGTGTTTTTAGCTCCAGTCTTAGTTTTCTTTTATATGCAAATTAGATTAACACATTTAATAGTTTAATACAAATGGAGCCACTCCAAAAACTATTTTGAATCGTACCAGGAAACCTAAAGAATCAATTTCAACATCATCAAACGTTATGAAAGCAGATCTTGGGAGTCAACTGCTGTCTGCTGTTTTTGAAAATCCAATTGATGTTATTTTTGGGGATAATGCCGCAACCAAACCAAGCCCATCTGATGGTACCATTGAGGATGATTCTACATCTCGGGCTAGCAACGAAACGTTATGTAGTGATTGGGATCAGGATACAAAGTCCATTCTTTCCGTAGATCAAGACTTTAAAGAGGTGAGATCGAAGATAAAACGTAAACGTGAAACGGATATGGAAATTGATTTATCAAAACATGTTTTTAAACCGACCGTTATTACAGATGCTATTATTAATCGTACAAATAGATTTTCTCTATTGGGCAATTTAGATATTGAGTCTAGTGTAAATTAAAAAATCATACATAACAGCACACGCACTTCTAAAAATAGTGAACCAACTAAGGCGGAAAGGAATTCTTTTTGCCTCCTATTTTCCTACAGAACGTCAATTTAACTTCTCTCATTGAGCAGCTGAAGGCTAAAAAAATTGAATTTAAAATTAAAAATCAATCTAATTCTACAAGCAAATTGTTTTTAAAAGATGCCACGACTCATGCTGAGATGATAGCGTTATTAAAGGAAAATAATATTGCTTCTTATACATATACTCCCAAAGAGTTCCAACGTCAAAGTATAGTCTGCAGAGGTTTACAGCCTGTTCCACGATCTCGAAAGAAAATTTGTGCGAACGAAGGCTACTCACTCACTTTCGTATAAGAATGCGTTCCACTAACTTTCGTTCTTTCTTTCGCATAGCCTTACGTGATTCAGTGTTGCTAAATATTTTTTTGGAAAAATTAATCGCGAAATAAAGCAAAAAAAGCGTCAAATGTCTAATTTAAACGCGAAAAAGCAGCAGTGGCTCTGTCTCAACTGACATTTCAGTTGTAAACAAACAAATTGTAAATAAACAAACAAAATAAAATTTTTAGTGATTGTGTTCAAACTATTTGTGCTCTTAGAAAATAAAAAAAAGAATATTTCCGTAGCCCTATTTTTTATGGAGGAGGTTCGAAATGTGCCACGGAGGCATTTAAGAGATGCTTCGAATTTATTTGAAGTACCTAACAACCAGTAAGTATGATTGTATTTTTACATTTTTGAAATAATAAAAAATGATTTTTTCTAGGTTTGTGGCCAACTTTCGTGTGTCGAAGGAAGTTTTCGGGCTCTTTTGGATATGATGGAAGAGAAGTGGGTGCCCGGTTGCAGAACTACCAAATCCGCCCCGATTTAAAACTTCTTCTGCTGCTTCCAAAAATTGGCATTCCTCTGGCGAACACAGGATTCTCCTCCATTTACTCAACTAGTGCCCGCAGCTGTGTAGTTGATGATTTTTTCGTGCTGGAATTGAGAAAATAAAAAAAATATATATTTGTTGTTCACATATTAAATTGCATTTATTATTTTTACTTACATTTTTGTTTCCATTTTCAATCAAGCAATGTTTATGTTAAAACAATTTTCCTTAATTGTTATTATACGATAGCAAACACACAAGTGACTGATTTTGACATTTGTGTTCGCATGCGTACGAAAGAAAAAAGATAGTGGAACGCAAAATTACACTGAAATGCTTACGTTTTCGTTCGCTTTGATTTTCGTGCAAATTTTCGTTCTGATAGATTTTAGTGGAACGGAAATCAGCTGTTTGTCGTGTAAAAGTTGTGCGAACGTGTTCTTTCGATATCGTGGAACTGGCTGTTATACTTTAAAATTGACATAAATGACATTAAGTCTGAAATAGATAAGTTCGTTCCGGATACTGTACAAACTGTTAAAAATTTTTCTACAGATTTCTCAAGAAAACACGGTGTTGATACTAGTTTGTTCTTAGTAAATTTAAAGGCAAATCGTAAAGCTAATGAGATTCTTGGTACAAGGTATATTCTTGAGCAAAGAGTGTATTGGGAAAAACCAAAAGCTTCCAACAAAATTCTCAGTGCTGGAGGTGCCAACAGTGGGGCCACTTTTCGAAAAACTGCAGTCGCCCTTTTTCATGCGTGAAGTGTAATAAAAAACATGAACCCGGTTCATGTGAAATAGGTTCCGACGATAAAGTATTTTGTGTTAACTGCAATACTTTTGGGCACACAGCTAACTTTAGGGGATGTAGCTCCGATAAGAAATTTCTCTCTTATAGAAACAAAATTGCTGAAGAATCAAAAGTACGGAAAATGGCTGCGATTAAAAATGTGTCAAGTCTTGTAAATGGCACAAACTGGGTTAGTGGTAATAGAACATTTGCTAATGTTCTTAGGGAAACAAATAGACCACAAGAGAAGCAGGAAAAACCTGTTTTAACTCAGGAAGTTTTAAAAGTAGCCAAAATGTTATACAATCCTGAATGTCTAACTTTAGAGGAAAGGATCAAGAATGTTTTAGGTAAATACAAACAAATGACAAAAGATCAAGCAAAGGCTGAATGCTTGAAATTAATGCAAGATGTCCAAGGTAAGTCTTTGAACTTAGTAACTTTTAATGTTGGCTCCCTAGTCAACTTAGCTAGAAAATTGGAACTTAATGTAATACTGGATCAAGGTAATGCTGATATAGCGTTTCTCCAGGAGTTACATTTGCCTGAGGGAAACAATATATACCTAGACAACTTTATTGTTTTAAGGGACAAGAGTTCCGTTGGAGTTGGCATAGTTATTAAAAAGACAATTTCTTATTCGAAAATATCAATTCCTGACTTAAAATTCCCAAATTTATTTGTAGAAATCAATGTTTTGATGAATGGAACAGTTCAAAAACTTTTGTTTGGGTCTATTTACTTCCCAAGCAATTTTGACCGCAGCTTAATTTTTAATGGCTTGTCAGTAATTCTAGAATTTTCTCGAAGTTTTGATGGGCTTGTAATTGCAGGAGATTTAAATGCTAAACACATTACTTGGGGCGACACAATTTATAATAATAATGGTGATGTATGTAGGATTTGTGATTCCTATCCCACTTATCCCAGATGTTCATCACATTTGGACCATTTTATTGTTAGTAGCAATTTGGTTGGCAATCAAAATGTCACAACAAGTACGTTACCCACATTTTCAGATCACTTGCCTCTGAAACTTAACCTCTCTTTTTCGTAATTTGATTTCATTTTGCAAAACCCCGAAATCTCCATCTCATTTAAGAATACTAATTGGGATTCATTCAAACAAGATATTATTAACTCTTTGCTATGCCATTATCCTCCCATCAACCGAAATCTGACAAATTCCGAGATTGAATATTATATAGAGGAGTTTGTAGCGACTCTCAATTTCGTGGTTAATTGCATTCTCGTGAGGTTAAAAGAGGTAATTATAAATTTTTTCCATCGGATAATTTGAAGTCATTGCTTAGAGTTAAGTATAATTGGCAAAAAGATTTTAAAAGGATTTTTGCCCGAACTTTTAATAGGAACCACCCAGATTATTTGCTGATATCAAAACAAATTGAGTTGATAAAGATAATCATAAAGGAGCAAGTAGAATTAGAGCAGGCCAATATTTTTAATTCGAAATTAAGTGAAATTAAACCTGGTCCTTGGGCGTATAAGCAGATTTTTAATATTATAGGTATGAAAAATAGGTCTAAATCAACTGACATTTCTGTAAATGGCGTTAATATTTCTGATGTAAATCAAAAATTAGAATCTCTGAAGGATCATTTTAGTTCCATTTATCAAGGTTCTCCCCCCGAAAGAGACACAACATACATAGATAAAACCATACACCGTGTTATATCAAGTGTAAAAGATTCTATCAACACGTTCGATCATTCTACAACAGCCCTAAATAATCAAAACGAATCTGTTTTTATTTCGTTAAATGAACTTAAGGCAAACAAACAACCAATGAATAACAAAAAATCGTGCGGCCTGAATAACGTGTCAAATTACCTCATCAAAAAATATCCGACGAAGGCCTTGGAGTATATGACAATATTATTTAATAACTGTATAAACAACGGGTATTTTCTGAGAGCTTGGAAGACAGCAAAACTTGTTCCTATTAGGAAAAAACTGGAGACTGTGATATTAATAACTTAAGACCGATTTCACTTCTTTCAAATCTTGGTAAATTTTACGAAAAAAATATTAAGGAAAAAATGGATGCTGAGTTAAGTGGTCCTATTTCTCAATATAAATTTGGTTTTAAGAAGGGAAATTCAACAGCTCATGCTCTTCTGATGCATGAATAACAAAAAATCGTGCGGCCTGAATAACGTGTCAAATTACCTCATCAAAAAATATCCGACGAAGGCCTTGGAGTATATGACAATATTATTTAATAACTGTATAAACAACGGGTATTTTCTGAGAGCTTGGAAGACAGCAAAACTTGTTCCTATTAGGAAAAAAACTGGAGACTGTGATATTAATAACTTAAGACCGATTTCACTTCTTTCAAATCTTGGTAAATTTTACGAAAAAAATATTAAGGAAAAAATGGATGCTGAGTTAAGTGGTCCTATTTCTCAATATAAATTTGGTTTTAAGAAGGGAAATTCAACAGCTCATGCTCTTCTGAAATTCCACAACGACATTATCCAGAATCTTAGGGAAAAACGATGCACTGTGGTGATGTCACTTGACGTCGAAAAAGCCTTTGACAAAGTCTATCACAATGGTATTTTATTCAAAATGAGTGAGATTGGTTTTCAACCAACGACAGTGAAGCTTTTTAAAAGCTTTTTCGATTAAAGAAAATTCTATGCTAAAATTGATAACGTCCTGTCATCCTTATGTGATGTAACCTGCGGGGTGCCGCAAGGATCCATATTAGCACCTTATTTATATAATATATCTATAAACGACTTTCCCCATGTATTTGATGGATCCAACGGTTTACTTTATGCCGACGACTCTCTTCTCTACGTTTACGATGAGTCCCCGTCAGTTGCTCTTCAACATGTTTCATCGCGAGTGAAATTTTATTCGCATTGGGGCATTAAAATTAATGCCGCAAAGAGTAAAGCAATTTGCATTAGAAATGCTTCCGGAAAATGCAAATATACTGTAGTGCCGGAAAGTAAACAATTTGAGCTGCATTTGGATGGTGATGAAATTGAGTTCACTGATAACCTTAAATACTTAGGAGTTAATTTCAACCACCTTCGTAAATTCAACAGACATGCTGATTATAATTTGGAAAGAGCGAATCGCATTAAAGGCGCATTTTTATTAAACAACAAATTTATTTAACAACAAATTTTTAACAGTTAGAACTAAATTATTCCTCTACAAAGTTAGCATACTTCCTGTCCTTCTGTATGCCTTTCTATTTGGTTCAACATTTCTCCAACCACGATAAAAAAAAAAATTAGAAGTTTTTGAGCGGAACATTATTTGGAAATGCTTAGGTCGAAATTTTCAGTCACATACTAAGCGATATTCAAATGAATTCATTTATAATGAGAGCAAAATTACACGACTTTCAGCATATGCACTTGATTTGATGAAGCGATTCGTAGAAAGACTTGTCGATTTCAATGGGTCTATTTTTCAGGAAATTTTAAACAGCGAACGTGAATTTAATTGGACGAATACGAATTATCTTTCCGCCTTAGGAATAATTCAAGGAGGATCATTTTATTCTTACTCTACACCTGGAACACATAGGGGGTAGTTTTTTTATGTAGTTTAAGTATTTATAATTTTAGTTTAATTGTTTTTTTTTTTTGTAGTTGTAAGTCCTAGTTATAAGTGCACATCAAAATATAGATAAAACTCTATTCGCTACAGCAAGTGTCGGGAGCAAACATTATTTATCTTATTTACTGATTATTTGTTAAATACAATTACATATCTAAAGAATGTTTAAGCATGTAGCATCCCCATTTTATGTAATGATATTAGAATGATACATGATAGTTGTAAGTGTCCCTGATATTTATTATTAATACCATGTCTTTAATGAAATGAATGAAGTCTCAATAAATAAAAAAAAATAGTTTAATACATTTCGCTGAACTATATATATCAACTAGCTGTCCCGGTTCGCGTTGCCGGTCCATAGTTTTAGTCTTTAATGATTACATTTTTAAAGCATAATTATTCACAGATCTGGCTCATAAAAGTGGAACTAGGAGGTAAAGTTATGTGGGGACTATACCAAAATGTATACCTATGTTGAAATTATTCTGTATTTTTTTTAAATTATTCGGTATTTCAAGTTTGTAGCCAAATCGATTGCAAATTTGTTCGAAAGAGTTAACACCAAGAGTTACCTTTATATGTCCGCTACTCCGTATCATTTGCCTACATTGAAAAATTTCTTCGAAGTGGGGCCAAATCAATTGAAAAATGTGACAAAGACCCCGGAAATAGCCGAAATCACGGAACACCTTGATATGAAGACTATACCAAAACGTGGCCCTATATTGATAATTTTTGCAAGGATGATTTTTTCTTACTAAGAACTCAAATCATTAAAAATTGCCGAAGTAAATGTGAAAAATGTGGCTAACATATAAAAATACTTGAAATACTGCGATTTATAATATCTTGATGGTTGATGAATAATTTTCAGGAGGATATACTTTTCTTACTACAGTTCCAAATTGATTTACAATTTTGTTAAGTCCGCATTTTGCAGTAACCCTTTATATTCGGAAATTCATTGGCATTCGTCCCAAAGAATTTTGCATTTTTAGTTCTTATTAGACGAATTATTATCATATGAAAGAAGTATGTAGGTTTACGATTTGATTTTATTTACCACAGAAGCGCGGTGAAGGTCCTGAGATAATAATTCTTGTCAGAAAAAATCAGTATTTAACGTCGTATTGAACACAATAAAATATATTTTTTTTCATATCTTATCCTCTTCTGAATAATGCGTATAGTTCCACTTACCCCATAAAGACATAAAATCTATAAATAACAGTTTTGCCCGTTATCGCTTTATACTACCCGAAAAATACTACACATCATATTAGAATTCAAAAAGAAAAAA